TAGTATGTACGTATTGTAATCCAATCTATCAATTTTTTGTCATTCTCTGTAACATATCTAGGGTTCCAATCATCCGATCTATAAATTTTTAATTTTTTGTATGCTCGTTTGACTTTTTCTTCATGATTTTAGGACATTAGCCTGCCATGTTACGTAAGAAGAAGCAATTGCCGGGTGCTGAAAAAAGGAGGAAGAAGAAAGAGAGTGATCTAAAAACTCTAGATTGTGTCCTTAATGACTTCGCATCAAGAAATGCCCGAAGAAACTTTTTTTGAAGCACTGAAGTATTATTGTTGTCGATGGAGTCAGTCTAATTTCGTTCTTATTTGAGGTAATCATGTCATGTTAGTTTCATTTTGCGATCTTTTTAGTATCATTGTTTTTTATGGAGTCTGTTCGAATTTGGTTATTATTGTTCTCGATGGAGTCATTTGAATTATTATACTCATATTTTAAACTAAAGATGTGTGATTGAAAGTTATTTTTAATAAGTTATATATATATATATATATATATATATATATATATATATATATATATATATATATATATATATATATATAACACACGCATACATATGTATTGTCTTAGGACTTAGGACATAGGGCCCATGTCGTCGAGTTCGCCTAGGGCCTACTGAAACACAGTGCCGGCCCTGCAGGTGTGGTTGTCGCCGCTCCGATACCGGAGTCAGCTTGACCTTGTCGATGATAGCCGGGGAGTCTTCGTGTACGTGCCCTAAGGACTAGCACCTTGGAGCCGCAGTCGTCGTCCTTGACCTTTTACATAAATCTGAAGCACCTGACACCAAATCTCGTCACATAACAAAAACCCTAACCTCACCATCCAAGAAGACACTACCTCACCAAAGGAAAAACTGCTAATACATTAGCACGGCATGGATGATGCAGGTGATGACCATCACATGCGGCCATGACCATGCTACGTAGTACTAGAACAGAAAGTCAGTAGAAACTAAACACGCGGCGTCTGAACGGCTGTCCCGCCGTCGTTCCTTTGCTTAGCTCCCAACAACGTTGTAATTGCCGGCCGTGTGTACACCACCTACACCGATCCAGCGAGGAACGTTCGATCCCAACGTCCGTTCACGCGTGGGAGCAGCACCAGCACCCTCACCCTCACCCTTTGACCCGCGGAGGAGCACTACACGTCGCCTACCGGCCCCATCGCCATTGCCAACTCCAGTGGGGGACAGGGTCGCGATCCATGATGGTGCTGGAGAGCGACGCTTCCAGCCAGCCAGCAATCTAATTAAAATTAAAACGCAGGACCAAAGCTTTCAGCCAGATCCTGCCCAGCCCATCGGCCCGATAAAGAACGGGATCCTGCCTCGCCACGCCCACGATCAATCATGCACCCCAAAGCATTCCATTTCATCAATCGCATAACAAGAAGACAAACTGCTCTCGCAGGAGCGCGGAGCCACACAGAAATAGTGGTTGTGCGCGCGGGCTTAACAAACAGCAGCGAGAAGATTTCCATCAGATGCTTCGGCCCTACCCTGTTGGCTGTTGTCAACGGAGCAAGGTAGGTTTTGGCTGACTAATCAAGAGATTGGGACCGTAGTTGTCAAGCCACACACACTTAGCCGTGCTGTGAGTACGACGCAGCTAAATATATACCACTAAGGTTGTACTTCCAAGTGAGTGAGTTCACATGGAAAGGCGCCCCATGTCGTCATGCTCAAGCTTGCCAGTTTTTAATCTCCGAATCAAATTGCTGAGGAGGCGGGTACAGTTTCTTACATGCAAATTCAGATTCTTTTTTTTTTTTGCGGGTGGCAAATTCAGATTCTTCGCCAAGATTTTTTATCCACTCTACTCCCTCAGGGCATTTACAATTTTTTTCCGAAAAAGGACGCTTTATTACTTAAAAGATTTAAGCATTACATTCGGCCTCTGCATAACTAAGATGCACCCGGCCTCAAGGCATTTACAATAGAGACACTCAAAAAGATGGGCATCTTTGTTACATACTCCTATTACTCCCTCTGTAAAGAAATATAAGAGCATTTAGATCACTACCTGATGGAAGATAGATGATATTTTTAATACAATATTTCCTTACATAAGCAAAAGCGCTCCCCGGCCGCTCCCGCGGGCGGCCAGGAGCGCACCCTAGCCGCCGCCCAGGCCACACCCCGCCGCCCTTCCTCCCCTCGCCGCCGCCGGCAGGCGTCGCCGGGCAAAGCCCGCGCGCGCGCGGCGGCCGCGGCGCCTTCTCCTCCTCCCGTTTGGGGTTGGACGGCGCGGGCCGGCCGCCTCGGTGGGTGCTCTGGGCGTGCTTGTGCACGGAGGCGTGGAGCTAGCTGGAGCGGGCGCGGTGGCCTCCTGTCGCGCGGTTCTGGTGGCTTGGCTCGGGTTCGCCGGCGAGGTGCGCCGCGGGCGCGGGCGGGGCGGCGCTGAGGCCGGCCGTCGTCGATCTGGCGCCCGGGCGCCCAGATCTGGCGGTGGAGGCGCTCCGGCAAGCTGCGGTGGCGGCGCTCCGGCGGGCTGCGGCTGTAGGGCGCGCTGGGTGCCTGGGGTCCCTTCCCTCGGCCGGGGGAGCTGCGGTGGTGGCGGCGAGGCGCAGTTTTTTGGACGACGGTGCCGCGTCGGTGGAGGTTCTGGTGATGGTGAGCTGCAACAGAGCAGCGGCTTGGGCTGGAGGTGGCTGGGGGTGCGCGGATCTGACATGGCGCTCTGCTGCGGCGTGTTGAGGGTTGGTGGTTGGCAACGATGTCCTCTGCACAACTTGCTATGTTCCTATGCCGTTCGCTTCCTGTAAGGCCCGGCGGTGGAGTAGATCCTCCAGGCGAAAGTCTTGCACCTTCTTCGGTGCCGGTGCTGGCGATGTTCTTGAGCATTGCATTCCTTCCTGGAGGCACATCGCGGAGCTACGTCCATCTACTGCCGCAACTGTCTGGTGTTTCCGGGTGAAAACCCAAGCTCCATTGGAGCGGGTGGCGGCGGCAATTACGTCGTTACCTTCTTGGAGGCACCGCCTTGGAAGCAATGACCTTTGTGGAGTGGTGGTCTCATGGCAGTGGTGCAGAGTTGCGTCGTTGTCGGGGTGATGGAGGTCGGGGCGGCGGCTCCGGACGGTGGATTTACGCCGAGGCGGCGGCCTCGGATAGCGATGCAACGATGGCTCTATGGGGCAGAGTCGCAGTTGTGCATTGTTTCGGTGGCGACTTGGTGCTACGTGGGTAGCGAGGTCGTCGGTCTGGTCGATGCGACCCAGTGAGGGCGGTCTGACTTTACGTCGGGGCGGCGGCCCCGGATGTGGTGCGGCGTTCGTGGTCTGCGTGCAGTTGTCCTGTGCAGCATGGGCTGCGGGTAGCTGTATTGTGCGGCGTTGCTGCTCGAGGGCGAGTGGAGGCATGTCGGGGCGGCGGCCCCGGATGTGGTGCGACGTTCGTGGTCTGCGTGCGGTTGTCCTGAGCAGTGTGGGCTGCGGGTTGCTGTATCGTGCGGCGTTGCTGCTCGAGGGTGAGCGGTGGCATGTCGGGGCGGCGGCCCCGGAAGGCGGTGTCGGTTGAGTGCGCAGGGCGCAACGGAGCAGTGGATGTCGAGGCGGCGGCCTCGGGAGAGTTGCAGCTTCGAGGGCATCGACCTCGTGTCGTGTGGGCGACGTGGTTGTCATCGATGTTGTTCGTGGATGGGCTTTGCCCTGTGTGTGTTAGTCTTTGGGATGGGCTTGGCCCTTGTTGTTTCGGTTTTCGCTCGATTTTCCGTAAGTAACTGGGTAATTCTCTTCTGCTTAATTAATAGACGAGGCAATCTTTGCCCCGTTTTGAAAAAAAACTACCTGATGGAAGATATAAGCACCTAGCTCTTGAGGGAGGAACTGTAAAAGTCTAAATATGATCGGTTCGGTGTGAATAGATGAGTTCCACCCTTATAACTTGCATAGATACCCACGTTCCCTATATCCATGGTGTGAAACAGCATCATACTACTGATTTTAGAGTAAAGGCCTCGATATCATTTAACGATCCTTTTTCATGAACAAACAAGTGCCGCCCTTATAATCTTGTAGTATTGATTTGTGGACAGGTAATACATAGTATGATACTTCTATATATACAGGACAACATACAAGATCGTTTAGCGATTCTGTATCCATAAACAAATTAGAAAGATATGTTTCAATACTACTAAGAAAAGACAGATCTTAGCTGAAAAGACATGTAACCAAGAGAGAGATCCATCAAGTTAACAACCGAGCATATTTATTTATTCTTTATACTTGTATGCAAGCAAACAAGAGCTTACAGATCGAGCTACAACCCTGATCCTGTTACAACAAAAGCCATAAGGAAACTACAAGCAAAGGGGTTCATCCAAGCTGCTGGGTCCAACCAACCAGCTTGCACTACCCCTGAAAAACAGGCACACCCTACTGAACTTCTGAATTCAAAGGCTTGCAGAAGTACCCCCACGGTGCTGAAAAAAAAAGAAGACGCCATTTTTGTCCACAGATATTTGAAGCCTTCTGGGAACAGCAGTGTGGTGGAATTTGAGAGGCCGGCAAAGGTAGGTGTTTGGGTTTGAAAAAAAAAAAGTCGGTCCGGCCTCTCGTCGAAAAAGCAGGGTGAAAAGGGCTGTATTGGTGTAGGGGAGAAATGAAAAATGGGTTTTTGTAAAATTCAAACTCCCCTTGGTAACTAGCCCTAGAAAAAGACATGTCTCATTTTTCTCACTCTACCCTCTCCCGGGAACATGGAGTGATTTTGATCAATCCATGCAAAAAAAGGGAGAGGAAGTAGAAGTAATTAACTAGTGTTTTTTGCTGCACCCATGGGGCAAAAAAAGGTGGAAAATGGCTATCTTTGAGGGGCACCGTGTGGGGGACTGCAAGCGAGCTATCATCAGAAGCACCAGCGGGGACGAACCTAAAACTCATTAGCCCCAAATCGTCGAGGCTAATGATGAAAAAAGAAGAGGGAAACCGAAGACAAAGTTCTAAATTAGACTTGATGTTCAGGAGCAAGTCCTTCATGGCGACGACTTGAACGCTTGATGTAGCTTCCTCACGATGTCCTTGACAGACAACGAGAAGTCCTCGCCGGCCTGCATCAGATTAATACATGATTGAGTGAGTGAGACCATGTAATTAATTGAGTAGTAAATTATGGAGGAATTAAGAAGAGGAGATGATTGGGGGCTGACCGTGGCCATGATGGTGATGTCGATGGAGGAGGCGGTGAAGGGGAGCACATTGGTGTTCATGATGGCGAGGTCGATGCTCTCGAGCTCGGAGAGCGCGGCGACGAGCACGCCCCTGCGGTTCTCGCAGTGGATCTTGACGAGCACGGTGCGGTCCGACATCCGGGCCTCGATCTCTGGCAGCCCGGCGTCGGCGCCCTCGAAGTTCTCGTCGCAGGACGACCCGTCGTCCTCGTCGGCGGCGAGCTGCGACTTCTTGACCAGCACCGCCGACTCCACCGGCCGCCGCCGGGCCACCTCCTCCATGCCCTTCACCTGCTCCTGCAGCGTCTTGACGTACTTGATCGCGTCGCCCAGCACCGACGCCTTGTCCATCTTCTTGAGCCCCGGCACGATCTTGGAGAGCGCGATGAAGCGCTCGCTGAGCTTCTCGCGGCGCCTCCGCTCCGCCAGGATGTGGTCCTGGTTCTGGGCGGCCGGCCGGGAGGGCGCCCTGGCGGGCTCGGCGGCCATGGCGTCGTAGCTCCGCTTGACCTGCTGGAACGGCGCCACGCCCCCCGCGTCGACCTCCTGCTTGGGCTTCACGGGCGCCGCCGCGCCGTAGTAGGCGGTGGCGGCGCTGGGGGCCTGCGGCGCCTTGGCGAACGCGTCGGCGTGGGCGTGGCCGCCGAAGGAGAGGATGGTCGGGGAGGAGGAGTCGGCGGGGGAGCCCTGCTCCGTGACGCACGAGTCCCAGCTGGTGTTGACCTTGGCCGCCTTGCGCGGCCGGTGCTCGCCCGCCGCCGCCGCCGCGTACTGCTGCTGCTGCTGCTGCATCAGCGCCGCCGCCTCCATCTCCCCCTGCCCGAAGGCCACGGCGATCTGCTGCTCCGTGTACTGCTCCAGCGTCGCGTCCGACTGCCACTGGTGGAAGAAGCTCGGCTCGTCCATCACCTGCACGCCACCAAACCATCATCAACCAGTCAGCCACCACCCACCTCTTCCCACACCATTACACCCGACGCTATCAGAAGACGAGCAGCAAATTACCATATTGGAGAACCACTGAGTCGCCATTCGCCGATACTAAAAATCGCTCGCTCGCCGCTCACCCCAAAGCCAAAGGTTGCAGCAAACTGCTTCTTCCACAAGCCCGATCGACTAGCCGGAAACCCTGATCAGGAAAACGCGCACGAAAACAGAGCAGTTAGCATTGCGCAAAGCAAGCACACAGCAATGCAGCCCGTGGGTAGAAATTCTCAGGGAGAGAGACCAACCTCGGGAGAGAGAGAGACAGAGAGAGAGATGGGTCAGCCGGCGATGTGGTATTGGTCCCTTTCCTTTGCACCAATGTCCAACGGAGGCGACCTTATATAACCGCTGGGATCAAGGACGGGAGACTATTTTAAGGCCTCTTGTTCTAGGTCGGGTGTGAACTACTCGGCCACCCATCCCCTTCCTTTCGTCCGCAGACTGTGCCAACGGAACTGCTTCGCAGACGACAAATATGTGCACGACCACTGCACGATAAGCATCTAGCGGCCTGCTGTCTGCTGTTGCCATGCAATGGACGGAGCTGATTGCATTGTCGTGCACACATCGTCCGCCACTATCGTGTGTATAGCACTGCTCCTGTGCCAATGGTGGCTGCCTCGCTCGCTCGCCCAAGTCACCTGTCCACCCCCCTGCACTGTAGCCCCCCTTTTAAAAACGGGTTTGGAGTAGCATTATGTCAAGCGAGCTTACATTATTGCTCTCTCAAGCCTTGCGGCATTGGCTGACAGGGAGATATTTTAATTCGCTGGAATGGATTACTTCATGGTGATGTCAATGGAGGTTGTGTGAAATGCTGGGGGATCCCAAATATTGGGAGAGTGTTTGGTTGGGCGTTTCGTCGTCGCAGGGGCGTTCGGGTTGTTCGGGAATGGTGTGTGGCCACTTGGATTTAATTTGAAGATTGTGCATATCGGAAGCAGATATAGATGTATCAATCCCTTTTGTGTGTGATATGAGATGGTGTGTATCTGTATATCTATATTCTATATATACTACTTCCTCCGTTCCGAATTACTTGTCGCAGGTATGAATGTATCTAGATGTATTTTAGTTCTAGATACATCTATTTCTACGACGAGTAATTTGGAACGAAGGGAGTACTACTTAAAAAGGATGTAAGGTTTCGAATATCCATTTTTTGAACCCGAGCTCAAATGATCTTGGTAAACAGTAAAAATACTAAAATACTAAAAAATTCAGAAAATTCTGATTTTTTTTATTGCATGGAAGAAGTTTGAGTGCGTGAGGTCCGTGTGAAATTTCAGCTCGTTCGGAAGTAGCTCTCAGCAAAAACAAAAACAAAATCAGTTTGAATAGTGCATGAATACTAAACTTTTTCACATACCCTAATTTTTTTTGCTAACAGCTACTCAGATGCCCAAACGAGCTGAAAATTGGCACTGTTCTCGTGCACTCAAATCTTCCATGTCAAAAAAGTTCAGATTTTTTTTTGAATTTCCTTAGTATTTTTATTTGTTTTAGTCTTCACATGTAGGAGAAGATGACTTCGGGAGCCATTTAGTCACTCTCGTAAGGTTTTTGTCGCTTCTACTAGCGTTTGGTTGGGCGTTTCGTCGTCGCAGGGGCGTTCAGGTTGTTCGGGAATGGTGTTAGGCCACTTGGATTTAATTTTGAGATTGTGCATATCAGAAGCAGATATAGATGTACCAATCCTTTATGTATGTGATGTGAGATGGTGTATATGTCTATCTATATTCTATATATTCCCTCTGTCCGGAAATACTTGTCATCAAAATGGATAAAAAAAGATGTATCTAGAACTAAAATACGTCTAGATACATCCCTTTTATCTATTTTAATGACAAGTATTTTCGGACGGAGAGAGTACTACATATAAAGAATGTAAGATTTCCAATATCCACTTGCGAACCCGAGCTCGTATGATCTCGGTGAAAAGTAGAATAAAAAATACTAAAAATTCAGAAAAAACTGATTTTTTTTTATTGCATGGAAGATGTTTGAGTGTGTGAGGTCCGTGTGAAATTTCAGCTCGTTCGGACATCTGACTAGCTCTCAGCAAAAAAGCAAAATCAGTTTGAATAGTGCACGAATAGTAAACTTTTTTAGAGACCCTATTTCTTTTGCCGAGAGCTACTCATATGCCCTCACACATTCAAACATCTTCCATGTCAAAAAAAATCAGATATTTTTTGAATTTTTCTAGTGTTTTCTTATTTTACTCTTCACAGGTAGGAGCAGATGAGTTTGGGACCCATTTAGTCACTCTCCTAATAGGTTTCATCTTTTACTTCTCACCACCCCTTCATCCAACATTTTCCTGTGATAACCAATCACCTTAATTTACATACCTCCTGAACCAATTCCACTTTAATTTACCTACCAAACTTCTCATCAAACTATACTATAACTCACGAGCAGGATTTGATAAACATTTATTTACATCATTGCATTAATATGCCCAGGTAAATCACAAGCTATGTACTAGTACTAATGAAAAAAAGCTAATCTTGTACTTTACACCTAACTAAGATGTTTTTAAGAGTAACCCCGCTCCCTCCAAAGAATTTACTAATCCTAGGAACATATGATCATATGATTAACTTAGTAAAAACTATACAAATAAGTTCTGAAAATATATGAAAAGATCAAACAAATATTAAATGTAAGAGGGAGTGTATTAAAGTTTCTCATTAAGATTATGTACATTGAGCTATTGTAAGTTACAATAACATAACATAACGAATGTTTTACATTCCAGTCAGTATGGACCATGAACTATATTAGTTTTTTTTACCATAATTCACATGCATGTGTTCCTATATTTTTTTTCCAATCACGGCGTTCAGACCCTAAGAGGGGCTTCTGTGCCTATGGCGTCAGACCCTGCCTGAGAGGGGTGCTTCTATGCATATACACTAATTATCAACTGTTGGTATCTATACACATGTTTATTTTTTTCACAATTTTTGAAAACATAGAGATATGAATTGTTGCTATGTTAAATGTATCGTGATTATATGATCAAATGATCCATTTGCTATCTCCCATTCACCCCCTCCCCCACGAATCACGAATGTAGCAGGTGATTATTTTTCTGTTTCTACAAAATGCAAACATCATATACAACCATTTTTGCAAAGTACGGAAGATAAACATGCATACCTTGCAAACGCCACCAAGTTTGTCCCAGAATTTTATGAAGTAGACTTTCATATAAGTATTGATCGAATATATGAAATTTCTTTGTTTAGTGGAAATGAAGCTAGATTCACATTTTTACAACACGTGCACTTCTAATATGAAGACTAAATAATCTAGCTTTCACGGACTCTTTGGTAGTCGGGAGAATCCATTTTTTGGTCCTCTCAATCATTGTTTTCTTTAGGTTTGGTTCATAAACTTCCAACCAAATAATTTTGGTCCCTAACTTCAATACCAAATGTATTCCGTCAAAACCTAGAGGGGTGGTGGTGATTTTGCACACCTAACTACACAATTAACAGATAAATCAAAAAATGACAAGAATAAGAGAATGGTTAACAAACTTAAAACTATGAATCAGACCATGCAAAAATGGGATAAACCTAAACAAAAACTTAAAACTTAAAAATATAGAACTGAAGTACACCAAGCATGGACCATAGAAAAAAGTACAAGTATCAAAAGGCTTGAGAGTTTGGAAAACCCACAATGATTCATTGAGAATACACCAAGAATCCAGATTTTCTTTATGGTTGTCCCTATTTTTGTCCGTGCTTTCTTGCATTTTGTGTTATTTCAATTGTTGTTGACTTCTCTTGTTTCACTGGTTTTGAATATTTGTTTCTAGAATGTGTATGACCTTTTTGCCTTATCATGTTTCATTTTATTCCTATATTTTGCATTCATGTGGAAAGAAATCCACAATTTTTGTTATTATTTATAAGTTTCTCCACCAATAGTCATGGATCACTTTCACTAATTCATTTTGTTGTGCAATTCGTTATGAATAATTTCTCTTGTAGAATTTTTTTTCTTGGTTAAACATGATTTGGCACTTCCGAACAAGTGTTTCTTTGCAATTGGTAATCTTAACCACTTATAATATATTAAAAATGCCTTTTCACTAGTTGTTCAAAAATTAATAATGTTCTCAATATTTTCCATTGAATGTTTATGATTCTAGAGTATTTTATCTATTTTCTTTCATTTCTATGGGTCCCTAGATTCTTTTTGTCTACTTCGTGATTTTATTTATAATTTGTACTCCCTCCATCCCAAAATAAGTGACTCAACTTTGTACTAACTTTAGTACAAAGTTGAGTCACTTATTTTGGGACGGAGGGAGTATTGAATAAGCATGCATGTTTGCAAAACAATAGCATTGCTCATACTGCTTTGATAAGGCATGTAAACAAATATGTCTAATATTGATTTCTAAGAGTGGACTACTGAAGTCTAGACCAAAACTTTAAAATAGTTTTACTAGATTATTATAATATTTATGGACATGGATTTTGTGCACCTAGTGCATAGAAAAAGGGTTTATAAAATTTAGAAAACAAAAGATGGCACAATGAACAATGTATTTTTCAAGTTCTCAAGAAGAGATTTATTGATTTTGTATTTGTTGGGGAATACAGTAATTTCAAAAAAAAATCCTATGCACATGCAAGATCATGGTGATGCATAGCAACGAAAGGGGAGAGTGCCGTCCACGTTGCTACCTCTTGAGCACTTGTGTTGGTTTTCCCTTGAAGAGGAAAGGGTGGTGCAGCAAAGTAGCGTAAATATTTCCCTCAGTTTTTAAGAACCAAGGTATCAATCCAGTAGGAGGCTACGCACGAGTCCCTCGCACCTACACAAAACAAATAAATCCTCGCAACCAATGCGATAAGGGGTTGTCAATCCCTACACGGTCACTTACGAGAGTGAGATCTGATAGATATGATAAGATAATATCTTTGGTATTTTTATGATAAAGATGCAAAGTAAAATAAAAGGCAATGAAAATAACTAAGTATTGGAAGATTAATATGATGAAGATAGATCCAGGGGCC